TTAGCACTGAATAGGCATGGACAGTTATTTTTGCACCTGACCTTATTGAATATGCATATGTAGGAGTTTCCCTTTCAGACAAAAAGTTTATGGGAGGAAAGTATTAAAATGAATCACGCAACACGATTTACTAACCTTTGCACTCGTCAAATTACTGGTATTCGCACCATTATTTAATGGCCAAAAAAGCATGTCTTAAAGGGTTAGTTCACCCAAAAATTTAAATTAGCCCATGTTTTACTCACCCTCAAAGCAGCCTAGGTGTATATGACTTTCTTCTTTCAGACGAATCCACTCAGAGTTATTAAAATTATCCTTGCTCTTCCAAGTGTTAGAATGGGAGTAGGTGGGTGTTTTTGTTCAACAGTCCAAAAGTAGCCAAATAAAGCACGCACATCCGTAATAAAACGTGCCTCACACGCCTCCGGGGGGTGAATAAAGGCCTCCTGTAGCGAATCGATGCGTTTTTGTAAGATAAATATCTATATTTAAAATGTTATTAATACCTTTCTCTCATGTCCGCTATCTGTTGTACGAGGAAGCCGTTCCGGCGGATGACGTAGGACGTATGCGTCACGCGCACGCCTCTTGAGATATGCTAGTCTCGTGAGTTTGTTTACTAGAGCAAAGGAAGCAAAGTTTCCTTACTTTAGCAAAGGAAAACCAGTCTCTTCTTGGCTTATAATCGAAATCCTCCAACATTTTTCTTTACAAATCCTCATTTTGTGCTTCTAATTCGCGACCGACATTTTGTTTTGCTCTCTCTCCTCCACGCTTCCGCGTTTGTCACGTATCACCGGCACGTGTGAGACGCATACGTCCTCCGTCATCCGCCGGAATGGCTTGCATATGCAACAGTCAGCAGAAGTGAGGAAAAAAGTGTTTATAATTTTCTTACAAAAATGCATCGATTCGCTATAGGAGGTCTTTATTCATGCCCCAGAGCCATGCGAGGCATGTTTTATTATGGATGCGCGCACTTTATTTGACTACTTTTGGACTGTTGAACAAAAACACCCACCTACTCCCATTCTAACGCTTGAAAGAGCCAGGACAATTTTTAATACTTTCATCAAATAAACTTTGTGTTTGTCATTTTTGGGTGAACTAACCCTTTAAAACAAGTGGTAATTTACGCTGGCCATTATGGAAATGATCTGGCTGCGTCTGTGTTCTTTAAATGTGTTGTCAGTAAATCACCCGCAGACTTTTCCCGTCCCATCGGCACTTTTATAGAATTGCGCTCTAACGCTAATTTGCCCTGTTTAGTAAATCTGGCCCCAAATATGGTAAATGGAAGCTCAACCATACTTGCTTGACATGCAAGACCAAGCCTAATTGGTTCTTGCAGAAGCTCGAATGTGCTTGCGAGAACAAACCTCATTGGTACTCTGCATAATTTTTGGGTGAACTATTTCATTTTCACTTATTTATTTTTGAAGCACTTTTAAATACAATAACTGTTCGGATACTGTTTGGTTGAAATAGCGGTTTATCAAAATAAAATAAAAAAAAGTGGTTCAGCAAATATCAAAATAGAAAGCTGTCAAAAGGCTGAAAAATATGAAGATAAATTGTTTTGCATTCCTTCACATTGGTTGTGAAATGTATTATTACTTAGAACAAAGTATATTAGGAAAATGCCTTTTTTTATGTGCCCCATTTAAAAGGAACAAATCAACTACCGCGCAAAACAACAGCGTCATTCATTTTCTTATTTCTCTCATCCTTTCTGCTTTCCCTTTAATCAGCAAGTCCCACACTTGCCTGTCCCAGATGCTGCTTTAATATCACATTTTCCCCACAGTTAATGTCAGCTGCAATTCATTAACTCTGTTATTGTCGCTCTGCCACGTTCTCACTGATGGCACATCAGATGAAACCCAATTCAGAAATATGCAGGTTGATTTCATGACTGTGGATTTGCATGTCGATTAGATTTCGTCTGCACATGGTGAAGCCAGATGAATGCATCAGATAATGGCTGGATGAACCTGACCTTATCATGATGCGATTGAGATAATGTGCATGTTGTGCATTGATCACCTTGCGGTCACGGAAGCCGACTCTTTGTTTCTTTTTCTTCCCTTCTGTGCCTGCCTCATCTTCCTCCTCCCCGCTACTCGACTCGAGAGCGCCGTCTGACTCCGCCTCCTCTACCACATCCTTCAGAGGCTCCTCCTCCTTCATCTGCTCCTCATGCTTGACTGAAGGCCCCGCCTCTGCATATGCTCTGCCAATCAGAAGAGAGCATGCAGATAAGTCACACTGAAAAGTATACACCAGTAATACTGTACTCTGCCGGCAAAAGTTGAAATAAGTAAAATTTTGTAATGTTTTTGAAAAAATTCTTGTGCTCACCAAGGCTGCATTTATTAGATGAAAATACAGTAAAAAACGTAATATTGTGAAGTATTATTACAATTTAAAAGAACTGTTTTCTATTTTATAAAATGTATTTTATTCCTTTGATGCAAAGCTGAATTTTCAGTCGTAAGTGTCACATGATCCTTCAGAAATCATTCTAATATGCTTAATCTAGCAAACTGTGTACAATTTTTGTCATGCGTCCTCTTACAATTCTTTTTAAGCAATCAGACCTACAATTTCTGCTGGACGATATAACAAAAACCCCATAGATTTAAAAATCACTCTGAACACATAAGCACCTGCATAGCAACACTCTGACATGGTAGTGAGTTTTGCTTAGGCTAATCCCTCACATATTTTTTTCAAAAAACTGTAAAAATCAATTTTACTCACCATTACACATGGGAACCAACATTGTCAATGTGTATTTATCTCTAGAGGTGTGCCTCATACTAAAAGTCAACGAAGAGTGCTAGGAGGTCAATATCTTCAGGACAAAAAGCAGTAATTGAAAAAAGGCCTGCCGTTGTGTTGATGGGATGTGTGTTTGAAGGTTTGTTCAATAATTCAATATAATGAGACACAGAGAAAATGACTGCACAGACTGAAAACCGAAATGCCACCTCGTCCCATAACTCCTTCATTCTATAGATCACGTCCCAGATGCATTTCTCTATATTGCTGACATATCAGCTGCTCTATTCACACACACACACACACACACACATCACTGGACTGGCCTTCGCCCAGACTGCAGATGAATCTCTGCAGATATGGGCTCTAAGGACACTTACGTTAAAGGTGAAATGTGTCATTTTTTCATGTTACAATACTTTCTCCTATCCCAGTTTAATATGCAGACACAGCTATATGTAAGCCATTCTTAGGGTGACCTCCCCAAAAACTGAATCTTTCTGAATCTTACTAAACAAAGAACATTTTATGGTCTTATTTCTATGGATGCACCAATATAAAAATGCTGGCCTATACTGTTAAAGCGAAAACATTTTTTGTCAAAAAATAAAAATAAAACAGTAGAAAAAAAAGTGTATTTTTAAATGCTGCAAGTAAATGTAGGCATCACAATGTAATAATGTACAGTATGAAAAATAGATATTCCTTCATTCATTAAGATCTGATAAAGGCTGCATTTAACGGAATTATTCAATCATTTATTTTATTAAAGATTAACCTTAAGTGAACATTACGTAAAGACAAGGCAACGTAAATGTAAAAATAAGTCAACATCTGCATGTACGATAAAATGTCCAAGCACAACCAATACAGATAAAAAAAAAAAAAAAATTATGTATGAAATGATTCTTGTATGTATGATTTTTGAAAAGTGATTTCTGTTAAATAAAATATCTCCTTTTGAATTGGACTTTGAGCTTTGTAACTTCGCAGATCTTTTTTATGCTCAAACAGCAACATTACAGACTAACTAAAGTTGAAAAAGTGAAAAAGCATAATAGGACCCCTTTAATATTTTAATTTTAGTTTAGTAATTTTAACTAAAGCATTGTTTTTGTTTTTAGATTGCAATGTTACAATGTTAGAATGTAATGTGATTTTAACCCTTTTGCGCACATATGCCTACATGGTTACATTCACTTTATTTGTTTATTTATTTGTTTAATCCAAATACAAAAGCACAGAAAATACCTAGATATATACCGTATACCTAGTGCTGGGCGGTATGACCAAAAATGTATATCACGGTATTTTTCAAAATTATACCGGTTTCACGGTACATGACGGTATTTTTTTTTGACCGGGTGTTAATATCTCCTTTTGAATTGGACTTTGAGCTTTGTAACTTCGCAGATCTTTTTTATGCTCAAACAGCAACATTACAGACTAACTAAAGTTGAAAAAGTGAAAAAGCATAATAGGACCCCTTTAATATTTTAATTTTAGTTTAGTAATTTTAACTAAAGCATTGTTTTTGTTTTTAGATTGCAATGTTACAATGTTAGAATGTAATGTGATTTTAACCCTTTTGCGCACATATGCCTACATGGTTACATTCACTTTATTTGTTTATTTATTTGTTTAATCCAAATACAAAAGCACAGAAAATACCTAGATATATACCGTATACCTAGTGCTGGGCGGTATGACCAAAAATGTATATCACGGTATTTTTCAAAATTATACCGGTTTCACGGTACATGACGGTATTTTTTTTTGACCGGGTGTTAACCATATTTTCTACTGATTGAGAGAGGAAGTACTGCAGTATGTTGACTTAGAATGCACTATTTTACTGTCACGATGAGTGAATATTGTCAAAAAATACCACACTAAATAGTGACTAAACACGACCCTTTTTAATACGTTAACCAGGAGTCACTCTCATTTATAATCGCGGCATCGTCTGATAAAATCAACATGCATCTACACTAAAGAGCGGCTATGCGGTTGTTTTGGCTATATTACTTTTTTGTCTCATGCAGATATATATATATATAAACCTGTTATTTTGCCATTTCATTATTTCTCTGATTCCATTTAGTGCTGCTACTGGCACTCTAGTCACAAAAAATAAAGCAACACTGAAGCACCTCAACAAAAGCTGATGTAAGTCTTATACGTTATAATGCTGTATTTTATTTGTAAGATACTTCCTGTATGAGACAGGTGTCCACAGTGAGCTGTACCTTGTCCACAGTAGTCCAGCGCTGGCAGAGATGCCCGTCACCCCCGCCAGGGCGGCCAGCATCAGTCTGCGCCGCTGATAGGAACGGAAGGCACCGGTGTGATGCCGTCTTGACAACTGCACCATCCCGACAGTGACAGCCGTCAGCGCCCGCAAGCGGTACATACTGCAAGAAGACGGAAAGACAGAGCGATTACTATGCAAATAATACTTTTAATTCAGAATGAGAAATACATCTGCATGCAAATATCTCCTGGAGTGACACAAATGACACCATTTCAAATATTTAAGCAAGGCAGTGAACTAACGTTATAAACTATCAAATGAAATTAAATCCATCCAAAGTCCCATTCCGCCTCTCTTTCATCCGAGATTTGGGCCAGCCTCAAATGGTGTGATATAATTTGATTCTGTCTGAAATTAAAATTGTAAATGTGGGTTCTGGATCTCTCCCGAACACTGCATGGATTAGCCTGAACCCCTACACTAGCACATCTCCCACGGCCCTGAGCCTGCACTCTCAAAAAACTAATTATCCAGCAGTACAGGAACAAGACACATTTTTAACAATAGACTTAAGAAAGTTGTGAAATGAAATGGGGCTTTGTGGCTTTAAGTCCACATCTTTTAGTTTTGAGGTCATGTGTAAGTGAGCATACAGTGACAAAATAAACTTTTAGGAGGTGTAAGTATTTAAAATGTACAATTTTGTCGTCAGGGGAAATGGTGCAAAAATACTGACGACTCATTCTGTCTGAAGGGACGTATGCAAAAAGTTGTCAATCTGGAATGCAAATGTCCTGATACCACCTGCCACAGCCTAGCCAGTAGCAAATCACAGTTCATGGCTATAACATACAGCAAACTCAATGCTATTTTTATTTTAAAATGAGAGATGAAACATATCTCAGCTGTTCTTTAATTTTATATTGATATATAATTGAGTTAGATGAGTAAATGTGGAAAATATTTGCATTCAAATGGGATATACAAGAGAAATTGCACTTTAAAAGTACAGAGTACAGTAAAAAGTTGACTGAAAAAGTATTCATCCAAAAATTTCAACCCAATTTCATGAGAAAACATAAGTATTTTACAAGTTAGTGAATTTGTATGATTTGATTTGTAGAAAAGGGTGGCAATTTTAGAAACAAAAAAGCAAAAAACAAACTTTTGCCAAAACATAGTTACAAATTACTATGACAATGTGATGAAAAATCTGAGTGAATGTAAAAAGTATCCACAACACATCTAAGCAAACTTTTTTAGTTTTAAAAAACAGATTTATTTATCTAAATATTAGCAACTAGCTCATTTTTATGCCAAAAATAAACTTTGTACCTCAACAAAAATACCATGAAAAGGCCATGGAAGGGATGGGTCTGGAAAGGTAACTATTCATATAGCACTAGTGACTTGGAATATACTCCATGAAGCAATTACAAAACTAGAATTTATCATAGAAACTTCACTGCTAAATAACAAATTAGGCTAGGCATTATTCTGAATATCAAGCTCAAATACAAATTCACAGTGCTGAAGTTAAACCCTTTATATTACCAGTTCTGTCACGACAACTCTCAGAGAGTTTAGCATGGTAATATACATGACAACATTAATGTGTTTGGTCTTGGCGGAACAGATCTGCTACACTGCTGCTGTGAGCATGTAGGAAATACTGCTGCTGCACATATAAGATATGAAATAACCCCCATTTACTGTATAACATACATGAAATCACCCCGTAGCAGATCTATACAGGTGGAGCTGGGGAAGGTGGAGGGTTTCTGAAGCGCACTGCGACTGCTACAGCAAGCACTAGATGAGTATCTGAATGTTGAGCAGCAAGATCATTGGCTGCTAATGTGAAAAGAAACCAATCAGCTGCGACGTTTGAATAATAATGTGATTATATTAGATTGAGTTAGACCTATCCAGCTGCGTCATCTAGAGTTTCATGACATAACTTTGTTTTTAGGCCTCTAAGCATTCCCAAAATAGCACCCAAGTACAGTAACAAAATACAACCTAATACTCAAGTACTTTACAACCTGTTAACAAGCAATATCAGTGTTTTAAAACAAAGCATATGCATTTATTTAGGCAGATGCAAGGGGAACAGTAGAGAGCTGCTCTCAACTGCCTGGACCATTTTCACTATTTATAGAATCACATCACAACACCTATTGAAACCATTAGCTTAATTTGATATCATGCCATTTAAGTTAGCGATCATGGTCTTATGAATCGAATATTATTCAAGCTCTTCTGGCTCTAGCTCTTCTTCAAAGTTATGTCTGCATCAATAGGCCAAACAACATGAGGGCATTGTTTGTTCTCATGTGTCTCATGACCAGAGGTCACTGATGTCAAACCTACAATGTGTCTAAAGCAGTGGTGTCCAAACTTGTTCCTGAAGGGTCACTGTCCTGCAGTTTAACTCCAACCCTAATTAAACGCACCTGAAACAGCTAATCAAGCTTTTCAGACTCGCTAGAAACTTCCAGGCAGGTGTGTGTTGGACTTAAACTCTACAGGATGTCAGCCCTCCAGGAGCAGGACTAAACACCCCTAGTCTAAGGCATCGAATTTGATTTGAGAGCTGCAGAACTGTTTATGTGGTTTGGTATATACTGAATGGCTTTAGAAGACTTGGAGAACAGCACACAAGATATATGGACCACTTGGGATACTTTTATGGTGCTTTGTATGTAATTTTGGCACTTAACACCATCCATCTCCATTCACTGAATGAGCACATATTCTTCCAAATTCCACCATTTCAAAACAAAATTTGAAGAAAAGTCACAATCACAAAGTAAATGACTCATTTTCAGTTTTGGGAGAACTGCTCTTGTTACAGGGGTTAACATATTGCAGTCAAACTGTGTACATATAACAACTTTTGAGTGAAGCCACAGGATAGCTCTTGAGACCTGTGATTATCAATCTTCTTTTATGGCAAATTTGTCAGACTCCCCCACATAAACAAACCAGCATCTGCTCATTTTTCCTAGAAAAGAGCTACTTATGTCTTTCGCATCTTTTGACATCAAACTGTAGGCAGAGAGGGACTGGCGAACTCTACCTGTGTGTTCTGCCTCGTTCGTAGGAAGGCAAAAGCTCCGTAGAGGCTAGAAGAGCCACCTGTCCGTTTTCCAATATTGACTGTATTTTGATTGAGGTCCTGATTCAGCAGAACATAATGAGAGTGGGAGCGCTACATGCTAAATTTTTCCTAGAAAAGAGCTACTTATGTCTTTCGCATCTTTTGACATCAAACTGTAGGCAGAGAGGGACTGGTGAACTCTACCTGTGTGTTCTGCCTCGTTCGTAGGAAGGCAAAAGCTCCGTAGAGGCTAGAAGAGCCACCTGTCCGTTTTCCAATATTGACTGTATTTTGATTGAGGTCCTGATTCAGCAGAACATAATGAGAGTGGGAGCGCTACATGCTAATTGGAGTGAGCACTTGTGCGTGACATTGCAGACTGATGGCGCTGGTCTCTGGGGCTGAGGGACAGTGGGAATTTGACTGAGAGCTGCGCAGAACTCGTCAAACAGAGCAGATACTTTAGCCCAGTAAACACCCTGGTGGGTTCTATCAGAGTGAGTGCAACTTGTTCAAGCCTTCTCGAAAAACACTTTCTGCGACTTCACATTGCAAGGCTTTTGTTATGGCCATTACAATGTTATTAATGTAATGTTTGCACAGTTTAATTGTAATTATGATGAGCTTTTCATTAAAATGTTACTTCCGATGGGGACTGAAGCTGGTGTAGATAACACATTTGGGCAGCAGTAAACTAACAGTATGATTAACAGTTAAAACATTTAAGACAACTTTTGGTCACATTTTATTTTAAGGTCCAATTCTCACTATTAATGAACTATAAACTATGGCTTTTGCCTCAAACTCCTTAATAGTTAGTAAGGTAGTTATGTTTAGGTATGGGGTACGATTAAGGGATCTAAAATATGGTCATGCAGAAAAAGGCATTAATATTGTGCTCTATAAGTACTAATAAACAGTCAATATGTTAGTAATATGCATGCTAGTTAATAGTGAGTATAATTTGTTTCTTAAAATAAAGTGTTACCAATTTCTTTAATAAAAAGTTTTGTTGATTTTAGTCCATGTCTGTTAGCTTTGCTCTCTATATGCTTGTACTCCTAGGTCAGTGATGCTCAGTGTTGCCAGATTGGATGGACGATTTCCAGCCCAAAAGCTCACAAAAACCCGCCCACTCCAACAAAAAACCACCCAAAACTTTAGCTGTCAAAATATTGTGATAGAATATGTCAATCAAGGTTGATAAGAGCCATTTGAACTCCTTAAAACAAAAGAATATAAAAATAGCGTTAGATAAATTTCCCATGGATCAAAGCGGGGCAAATACATTCAAGAGAATTACCAAATATGATTACAATATGCAAGCAGACACTGTCAAATCGGCAATCAAGAAATTAACTGAAACCCTCGAAAAAAAAACACATGCATCATTTTCAATGTAAACAGTCAGAATTTAAATGCAAAAAATTGCCCAATATAAGTGATCGTCTTTGCAGTGTGCGTGTGTTTTTAACATCGTGATGACTGATTGGATGCAGTATATGCAAACTTGGGCTTGTTTGTTAACCAATTAGCCTATACAATTTATATGTTTGAAAACCGCCAAACTGACAAGCCAATTTTAACCCGCACAATAAAATTCAAAACCACCCAATCTGGCAACACGGGTGATGCTCATCTTTTTTTTTTTATCTGTATCTTTGAATTTTTCGAAAATACATAAAAAATGCAATTCATGGTGACTTAAACCTACTTCTTTTATGATGAGCATGTTAACTTCTGAATTAATAATGAAACAAGGAATTAAAGGGGAGTATGTTAGGGTGACACCATAGTGTTTTGAACAAAATTTTTCATTCTTTTTAAAAGATTTTCATCATAGGCAATTTTCATAGCAGACAAGTACATCATGGTTAAGTACAATGTGTTTCACTCACATCACGAGGCTGCTGATGCCTATACAATTTATATGTTTGAAAACCGCCAAACTGACAAGCACAATAACCCGCACAATAAAATTCAAAACCACCCAATCTGGCAACACGGGTGATGCTCATCTTTTTTTTTTTATCTGTATCTTTGAATTTTTCGAAAAT